AAGCCATTCCGCTTTTATTTATGCGATCATTAGGCAAAAAGCAGCTACTGCGGGCAGGGCTGTTTTTTGCCTTTAGACAAAAATTGCCGCCTAGCAACACTGCTGCCTGAAAAAATGTTGGCGAATATAAAGATGAGCCATTGAGCTTTTAAGAATTTCCAGCACGCCTATCACGAGTTGAAATCCCCGGCTTATCTCATCTGGGCAAGTGTACAGTTGATGGCACTCCTAATTCGGCGGTTGGCCAGCGGTCAGTTCAAAGCAAATTTCCTCGCATATACGGTTAATCGAGCTAGGGCAGGGTTGCGTAATTTGCATATAATTAGGCGTGCGGATGCATATAGGATGATGTCAGTGGCGGGCACAGGGAGTGTCCGCCCATGCAATTCATTAAGCGCCGTCATGCAGCGCGAAATAAAATGCCTGGCTGTCGGGCATGAATGGGACGAGACGTGCATGCAAATTGGCAAATGGCGCGCGAGATAAATTGCGTGGATCTGCCCCAAGGGAGCCGAGAATGCAAATTCGTATATGTTTCTGCCGGCGTAGGCCTATCACGTGATTCTGCACTTGTTGAGCCGCTTTCAATATTGTTTTAAGCCCTTTCGACTTAGGAATGTGTCCCTGTATTTTAATACAGAAGAGGTTTTGTGCAGGTTTGTAAAAGGATGGGACTTTCAGAAAGTGAAAAAGTATAATCCTTAATGCGTACGGTTAAATTTGCATTGCTGACTACAGTCAAAATTCCATTTTAGGGTGTGGATCTTAACACCAGTAGAATTTTAATTTTGCACATTCCTTAAATTAAACGAAATTAAATTTTAACTTCATCCAAAACGCCTTCAAAAATAAAATCAATAATGATTTGTATTTTGTATTATTTGCAAATACAAAACAATACAATAAAACAAAGACATATTAATGCGTAAGGTGATTGAGTTAAGTTTGAAAGTTATGCCAAAAGAAAGGAATCAACAAATAATTAGCTTGAAGAGTTTGGCAATTTTTAGGTGAATTAAATCCTGATAGTTAATTTCATGTTACCAATATGAAAAACGTTATAGCAAATTAAGCTGTGTTTTAACCATGTTGAATTATTTAATTACAATTGTGACGAGAAGTATGAGCCAATCAAACTTAAATACAAGCCTAGATTATTAATAACAATTCTTTATGTTCATGCCTCTAATAATTTGTTTGAAGGTGGTGTCAAGATTAATTTTGCACTACATTGATTAGGTTAGAATAGCTCATTTAAATCGATATAAATTTTACTTAAGTTTTAAATGAATTGAGGGCGTGCTTTTGTAAAATTGAATTCTAAAATCATTCAGAAACTAAAACTTTAACGATATTTGTTTTCAGTAAGAATATTAATCTATTTTGAAGCGAATATAATCACAATACAAAAGACAACATCCAAGCACCTCATTATAACAAAAATTTAATAGAGACATAAATTATGCCAAATATGAGCGGATGCTACTCGTGTCCAATTGATTTCCTCGGTTCCAATAAGGCCTTCTCATCGCTTGCAAAGCCTGTTAGAAACTTTTTCCAAGGCCAAATCAATGACAAACTAACGATTAGCTCTCGAACGTGACGCTTATTTTAATAAAAACAACTTCCCTCCTTTTAAAAACGAAAGGAAGAACCCAAGGTAAAAGGTCTCAACGATTTGCATAGTTCACTTTCAATTCTATATAAATTTGTTTCCAAAATATATCTTTTATAAAATAGAATGAACATACAATTTTTTCCCACAAGTGAACGAAATTTCGCAATCGCCTCTTGATGCAGATAAGGAATGCGTGCGTGTGAAAAAAGCTGGGGGTGTTAGGTCGATGTAAGATATTGTTCTTACCCTTGAGCAGCGCGACGAGCAGGCGAACGTGGGTCTTATCAGTCGGCCAGAGGACAAATGATACGCGACGAGGGTAACGAGAGCGAGCATGCTGCAGTGCAAGATGTCTGTCGGCGTGAGTTCGCGTCACTCAGCATGGAGTCGCGACCCGCGGCCCTGCCACTCATCGGCCGCCATTACGAGCCCGGCCCGTTCGCTAATGCCTGCATTGTGGCCGCAGAGCCGAGGGAAATTAAATACGCAGCCGGCAAAATTTGCTAAAATCTCTAATGCTTCCCTTTGTCAGGGATTATTCTTTGCAGCTGGCACGAGAAAAAAATGTGGGTTTTGAGAAAAAAAAAATTCCTACTCGAACAGCTGCGTTAGAAAATAAAGAATAGAAAGGAATTTGTTAATTTGAATTTAGCATTTTCTCACTTTTATTTTGTTTTAATTTGTTATATTGCAACAGAAAAATACCCAAAATTTGAAATTTATTTGACGCAGAAGTTTAAATTGAGTTTATTTAGCAAGAAAAGAAGGTAAATTTTTTTTCATTTGTTTATCGATATTTTTTAGTTTAAAAATTATTTAATTGAATTGATTACAAAATTAAAAAATCTAAATTCAGCAATTTGAACAATTTCATATATGTAATGAAATAAACGTTATTTTTCTATCACAATGAGACAAGTCGAAAAAATTATACTAAACAGATTTAAATAAAATTTAATGCACCAATAACCCTGCAAACCAAAAATCGGTTTGTATTCAGCAAAGGAATCTTAATATGCAAATATATTGTAAACTTGCATTGGAATATATTGTAGAACACAATGAACATGAAATATAGACACAAAAGGAATAAAAAATCGTAAATATATCAAATTAAAAAGAAAATAATATTGTAGAAGGAAATTAAAAAAACCCTGTGTACTAGATTTAAAATTCAAACCCAAGATTTAAAACAAAAGTGAACCTCAATTTTCTGCAGTAAATATTTAGTGCCCAAAATTAATTTCTATGTAGCAAAATTTCCCTACAAAACTGTCTAAAACTATTTAACTGTTGAAAAGGTTTTGAGAGGAATCGTAATTCATCCTCTAATTAAAATAGGTATTCATCGTGGTCCGAGCCCGAATCTTCCCCACACCAGGAGAGCCGAAAGGTGGCTTTTTTCCAACCGAAATAATTCCAAATCAATCGGTTTCTAATTATATAGACGAAGGCCTTTCTTTTTTCTCGGCAGTGGTTCTAATTGGCCATGCGCAGAGCCTCGCGGGGCTCGTCGGAGTTAATTTTCGCGTCTCGTCCGAGAGTTAATTTGAAATATAGAAAACAAGCATGCTTGTCCGTGGGGGCCGGCGTGGGCCCGTGGGCTTACCTTGGCAGCGACTGCTCAGGTGGAGTGCATCTGGGAGGCTGACGGGGCGAGATAACACGAGATGCCGCGGCTCACCCTTACTTTATATCTAACGCTGATCGAATGGCGCATGCACTCGGCTCGAAGGCAGGCGGCCGACCCTCCCAAAGCCTCCTTTAGGGTCGTAACATTTTTGTGCTCTGCCGCCGTTGCTGCACGGCTCGCTCTCCGCCGGTTTCTCTTTTTGCACAAAATTTATTTGTATACGCACGCGGGCCACGCAAATGTACACATAAAAGCCAGGGGGATATATGCACTAATAATAAATTTCTATTTTTTATTCACCCAGAAGGCGTGGGGTGGCTTTTCTGATTAACTTTCATTGGCACGCGGGGCGCGGCGATAATTAAATCTGCTCCCTTTTCCCTTTTCCGTTTTCTTCAGTGACATAAATAATAAATATATACAAAAGCTCGTGCTGGAAAGGTTCGTTATCGCGGCCATTGTGTTCTTTGTTATTCGTCGTTTGGGCGACTCACCAAAATTTTAATATATTTTATTTACGGTTGCGGTTGCTTTTCGGCCGCACCATTATATTATTTGTATTTTAAAAGAGCCTTTCTATAAAAGCATATATTCGGGAGAGGGCGGATGACTTTTAGTTTTAAGTAATCGAGGTGCTGCTGCACGACCAAGTTTGGCCAAAGTGTTAAGTTGTTCAATTTATTCAGTACACGTGCGCTTAATTAACAGCAACGCTTTAAAACGCGATAAACCTCACGCCCACCTTTTAAGTTGAGCAAAAAATGATTGCGTGCAGATGCCTAAAGAGCAACCATCAAGTCCATAAATTATTTTAATAACTCTTAATATAAGAACCCTTCCGAGAAATCCGTGCTTTTCTGATTACCCGGAAAGCAGTGATTATTTATGTAAAATTCTTCTTTGCGTGCAATTTTTATTATGATACAAACAAATGCAATATTTTTATTTAAATAAAACATATTTTTCAACCATAATAGTCCATCTCAAGTGTTTTTTAAACACCAAGGTTTTCAAGAATCATTGATTATTTTATGTATTCTTCTCTTGATTAAAATTTCTTTTTCCTTGTTTATGAGCGAGTTCTGTATGGGGAATAGTTGTCTTTAATTTAACCAAAATTGAAATCCTGCTAGTAAATTGTACATTTACATTTTCTGAATGAATAAAAGATTGTAAAATTGAAGGATATTTATATTATTTCAAAACTCTTTTTTTCTTTTTAAATGTTTCAAATCATTAAGATATAATGACACAATTTTTAATAGTTACTCTTTAGAGGGCAGAAAATATTTAATATTTGTGCATAATTTGGAAAATATTCAAGTTTATGCCGCGTTTAATTTGAAGAAATTACTTGCAAATATGTATTTGCGATATCGGTGAATTCAGTCAACAAGATTGTTCTTGATAATCTCCGCGATAAAGAATATCAGAGAGATAGAATAATAATCACTTTTTTTTATAAATTTGGGTACAAACAAAGTGTACACTGGAATTTATATAATATTTAAATCAATTATTAGGAAGTTTGAAAAAAAAAATTAATAAAAGAAGTAAGAAATTCTTTTTTAGCAAATAAATTGCTTACAAATTATGCAATGCATATCAATGCAAAATTTTAATTGATTCACTAACTAAAATTTCTAATACCTGACCTTCTGAGCAATAATTTCAATTTTTTTCTTCTTTCAAGAACATGGTTGTTTTAAAATTTTAATTTTCTAGGAAATTGAAAAACTTATTACTTACATAAAATGTGACGAGTTCTCCGTTCTGCTTTGAAGCAACTCTTTTTCCCCAGCTAGAAAAAATCATTCAAAATTAAATTAAAATAACACAAAAAATATGAATTGATGCAGCCACTGATGTCTCTCGCCCACACAATCACTTCTTACACTGACCTACGATATAGAAACTAACTCTTTCCCCAGCAATCTGCGGACCGTCGGGATAAAAAAGAGAAAGTCGGATATTATCTCTGCTGGACCAAAATATTTGTGTGATGTGCATTGTCTGTGGACGAGAGAGCGTGCGGGGGAGAAACGACAGATAGCAGGGACTTGGCAAAAAAAACGCGTTGCGTTCTATGGGGTGGAAAGAGAAAAGGATTGCGCTCGGGGGTTGAAACGCCTGGAATCTGGCGAGGACGACCGCAAAAAGTGTCTGTTTTATGACTTACGAGGCGAGAGAAGAGAGCGACGTGCTTTTCACTTGAACACGAATTGTTCAATCCCAGCCATGTTGGCTGCTTGACCAGCACCTGCAAGCATGAAAATTCTCAAAATCAGCTTAAAAAAAAATACAAAAAGGAATTCCGTGACTCAAAAATAGTAAATTAAATGAAAATTCTGTAGGCTTTCACTTGCGATTCTCAAAAATTTCAGTCCGTGTTGCGTGTTTGTCTCATATTTTTGAGGCAAGAAAAAACCACGTGCTTGAGCAATTTCCTCACCTTTTGTCCTGCGAAGTTCGTCGCTTTGTCGTCTTCATACGAGCCGCCGACGCGTAATTCACTCGCGAACATCAAGTTGACACACTCACGAATGATTTCAGTCCGAATTCAGGCCGATTCGACCCCTCGGCCGGCACTTTCCGACCGCATTAAAGTGCCAAAATTACCGATTCACGCCACCAACGCGAGCACCAAAATCTAAACTGCTGCGGTTGTAAGCGGATCAGCTACAATAGAGAGGGGAGAGGAATGATTAGATTTTCGGCGCGATTGTTTCTTGTTTGCTTGCACTAGCATGTTATGTCCTGTCTGGATATGTATGAAAACGTAAGAATATTATTTTCGTTGTGCTGCTAGGGTGCAGCACATAAACGCAATGTTTTTAGAGAAGGAAAATATTAAATAATATTGTTGATAAGATTCTGAACATTTTTGCTCGATGATTGAATTGAATGTTAATTTAATGCAGCAAGTTAATTGAAGCGAATTCTATTTTTTCAGTAGCTTCTTTAATTTTAATCAAACTTTTTATCAAAATTATTGATAGTCGTGGTGCCATTGTTCAACTTTCTTTCAAACAAAAAATGTTTTTCCATAATTAAATGCAAACAAAATAGAATGAAATTTTACAATGTGGTAAAAAAAACAACAACAATAATAATGCTATAAAAATTTGGAGCATTAAAAGAATTACAAATGAACAATTAATATATTATTATTTTAACAGCGGTGGGATGCGGTTAAAAAAATTTGAGATAATTTAAAAGCAGTCTGAAAAAAACATTACTATTTACCATTTTGTCTAAAAGCAAAATATTTTATAGTGACAAATGTTCCGATTTCATAGTTGACATTTTCACTTTATCTCGTTGGGACAAAGGACAAACAAGTTTCTTTCCTCACTTTTTGGCTTTGGAAACTGGCTAAAAAACCAGGTTCAAAGGTGCAACTTGGTTCACGATTTCCTCTCCCTGCGAATCTAAAAAAATAATTTTTTTAATATTGTAAGGTTCTCTCAAAAGGAAAGCTGGCCATTGAGAATGATTTGATAAACTTTTAAATATGAATCTCGCACAAGGCCAATTTTTTTCTGCCTTTTCCATCTTGGATCGGTGTTCGCTCTCAGAATGTTTTTTGGAGTTAGGAGTAGTTCGTGTGTAATTTAAGTATAATTTTTAATTTAAAATACATCTTGGACAATTTTCTTCTTTCACATTGAAAAACATGTGCTATAAAACACGTAAAATGTGAAGAAAAAAAAGTATTTTGCCTCCCCACTCCCCAGGCTCGCACCCATTGGGATAAAAAAAATACAAGACCCTCACTGAAAGTCGCAATAGCTACAAAAACATATGGCATGTTATCATCTTGTTTTTTCTTGTCGCACTATTATTTTTGTTGTATATATTGGCGTTCGGCGTTCAATAAATACAAAATCATACAGATAACATGAAATATTTGAGATACACAAAATTATATAATTTTTTGATATAAAAAGAGGAGTTGTTGAACGCTGAATTTTGCTAATAGTCAAATGAGTCAAATTTCACGCAGGAATCAATGTTTTGAAGTCAAAGATTTTTGTAGAATGAAACAATTTATTTCTTTGGCACTTTCTGTTTTTTTTTAAACTCATTCTTTTTGTGGTTTATTATGATGTCTATATAAAAGTGATAACATTCCTCATTCCTTTATATTTTCGCATGCACTAATGTTAATGAAATCTGGAACTTTGACAAAACGCATAATATTTTTGTTTTCCATTATTGAAAAGCAATCCTTTTTTTTTTGGCAAAGCCAACTTCCAAGAATTTTTGCACATTTATGTGCGAGAACATCAAAAGCAATAAAGAATAATGCTGATGTGGCGCAGTTCCTTGCGCTCAAAATGCTAAAAGTTTTTAACATCAATTCCATAAAAGTTGACGTCGCTGTGAAATAAGCAGCACAAAAAGGCTTTCAAGGGTGAATTAAAAGTCTGAATCACGCTGACAAAAGTTTGGTCGTTTACATAAAATGGCATATTGCAATCATCCACGAATGATATAAGAAGACTCAAAAGGGGGCGCCATGGAAATTATTTATCCCTTAATTCAGTAAATGTTTGTTGACTTTTTCAGCATTAAATTTTTAAAAGATGATCTTCAATCTTGAATTAATACTGTCATTAAAAATAAATTGTTAGCATGTAGGGTATATTAGTTTTTTCCTTATAACTATATGAACTATAACTTATTTATTGTTTAGTATTTTTTTATCCCTATATTGCAGAACTTTAACTACAAATTATAAATAGTGCAAATGCAAATATGTGGTAAATTAAACTAAAAAAACTAATCTAAATACTCAACGAGGATGATCAAGTGTGAAAACTCAGGATCTTCCTTATATTTTGGAAGCCATGGGTTTCAACTTCCATGAATTACATTTTATAATCCTCCATTCTTTTTCAAATTATGTCATATCATTTTTGGTCATCAAATAAACAATTCGGAAAAATTATACTTGTCAAATAAATTTTATTTTGAATAACTACTTAAAATAAATAAGAATATTATTTCCTGTTAAAAACGTGCCGCAGTTGAAATCTCTTTGCCATTTTCTTCGTTTGATGCCTTTTTTTATAAAAAAAAAACTGCTGCTGGAAATGACACTCTAGTCTCCCAGATATCCCGGCCGAAATCTAATCAACTTTTCCCAGAGCACTCTGCTGAGGAAAGAAAACGTGTCGGGAAAGAAAACGGCTAATTTTCATCTGGCATGTCGAATTGAGCCATTTTTGCAGAGTGCGCAGCCGACAATTAGCCCCGAGACGCGCGAGGGCTGCAGAAGCACGAGACTGCATAATTGAGTGCAGCCGGGCGAATTAATTTCTCGGGTGCATATTTCAGGAGGGCGTGTTTCTAGATTTAATTAAGTCGGAATGGCGTTGAGCGCAGCAGCGGCAGGAAAAGCAAGGGCATGCACCTGTCTGTGATAAGAGTGAGAGAGAGAAAAAGGATCAATAGAGCGTGCCGGCCTAGGGAGGCTGCGCGGCCGGACCCTGGACCACCCCGAGCAGCCCTCCATCTTGCGCTCATTAGCCCTCGCAAACGCACCCCCAGCTCAAATGGGGGCGCGCTCCCTGCTCGGGGGAGATAAGACCCAAAATTACACCTGATGCAGAACTTTATTTCTTTTCTGCTGAGCAAGATTTGAATAAGATTTGCCGTCGTGGAATGTGTCGACGCCGAAATTAGCACGGCCCTATGGTGCAATGGGACGTTCACAGGGGGTGATGCGTCTTTTGGGGTGCTGCTGCACGCCAGAGGAAAAGGGAGGTGCGTTTCGTGTACTTACTTTTACGGCGGCGGCGGCACAAGGGTGCTCCGAGGGTTGCCGTTTTCAACAACAGAGGGTATTCCTGGTAGCATCTGTGAGGGTTGAAGTCTATCATATAATATCACTACCAAAATGGCATTTGAATTTTCAAAAAGGAGATTGCTATATAATGAACACATTCATCAGATTTTTATTTCAAATGAACCAACACAGGAAAAGCTATTAAAATAATTGTACGCTACCATAATTATTATGTGTATACTGATGTATTTTTTCAGAATGACCCTTTTTTTCGTTATATTTGTATTTGCCGTAAAATAAAATAAAATATTCTTACGAGGGAAAAAAGATTTACTTTAATCCCTCATATTTGTTCATATATTATAATGGAACTTTTCTGAATTCTTGATTAAGTAAAAGAGCTATATTTGATTTTCCAGCAAAAAAACAGGTTGTAAAAGAGTTTCAGTATAATATAATCTATAACAGTTTTCTCCCACCTCAATGCATATAACACATTAAATTTGAAATATACGGAAATATAGATGATCTAAAAAGAAAAGCATTAAGTAGTCAGAATTTGATTTAAAAGAAATCAATAACAAAAATAAAATTTTAACTAGAATTTAAATGATTTAAATATTTAAAAATTAATTTATTTACAAATTATCCAAATTATTATAAAATATTAAAAATTTATAAAAATAATAATATGATATATACAGTGGCCTTCAATAACATGTATAGAATTTGACAAATAATTGAAATAATTCTTAATAATAAAAAAATGGTTGTTTTCTGTGTTTCGTTTGCCGCGGTAGCTGAATCTCTTTTGATGTCTGGCGCAGATATCTGCTATAGTTGTAAATCCTTTATTTTTTCATTTTTTTCCGATTCTTAATAAAAACTTTTGTATTGAGAAGAATAAAAAATAGTAAAATAAGCAAAAGTTTTCCCTATATTTTTGTGATGCAAAAAAACATTAGAAAAATCACTTGAATATTATTTAATTTCTAAAATTGTCATGAAATTAAATAATTCTTTAGGCGCAGTTTAAGCGTGAATCGAGCAATTGCCTTTCAAACAATTGAATTAAAAAAAAATTAAAAAAACAATGTGAAGATTAAATTTATAAAAAAAGCCTTTATATATTATAAATTTCAGTAAGAATATTTGTTATTAAGCCAAACTTCCAAAAAAATTTATAAGTGGTAATGATCTGTAATTTTTTATTACTTAAATTAGAATAAAATAAATGCAATCGATTTGAATCTCGATATGGGCACTGAATGCCTCTGTTCGAATATATCAAATTGTCATTTGTGCAACTAAAAGCTTGGAACCATTAAACGATTAAAACAGTATCAACAACTCTAAACCCCGCATTTTTTTTTATTAATATATAAATTATAACAATAAAAAAAAAATATTTAGTCAAATTACGGCTGCGTGCCAATACGTCACTCTTCCGTGACTTTACGAGATTCTAAATCACGGATAAACGGTGCGTTTATTCAAATTGAGGCAGCTCACATTGAACAAAAAGAAGACCCTTACCAGGCCTTAGCAAGTGATCTCTCTCCATCTCAATGTGATCTCTCGTTAAAATCGGCGACAGAGCACCGCACCTGTGCTGCTGGGGGCGCAGCACGCTAGGTGTCAGCAGGCCGTTGAAGGGATTTATTGGATTTATCCTGGGTGAGCAATAAATCAGTGTCAGGCAGGCACAGGTCGGATGAATGAATTTTTTGAGCAGAAATCACGACACTTTTATGGTCTGATTCGCCCCGAAGCCTGTTCGAGTGATAATGAGGAGCTCTTTTTTATTGTTTTATTGCTTTCCTCACCTGATTACGCGCTCAACTCTCTGCAATATTAATATTTCACGTGTTAATTTATTATCGTGTCAAAATACACCACAACGCTGTGTGCACCGCGTGAGAATGAATAATAATTGCTCCAAGTCTCACGGCTCACGTCATATTTTGCTGTGTATTATTTTAAGCTGCCTTTGAGTATCCATAATAATATTATTTACCTATTCAATATTGATTTTGGTTTTTTGATCAAATAATCTTATATTAATTAACAAAGCTACAAATAAAAGATAGGAAACACTAAACAGGTCTTCAGGAAAGCTTACTTCATTTGCGATCTCACATTTTTAGTCACTGTGTCCTAGGATTTTTATTAATTTATTGCAATTGTGATTAAATGAATATATCAAATGAATTAATAACTTATAATATTAACAAAACAAAAAAATTAGTGAAAAATACTCGACATTTAAAAATTATAATAGAAAATAATATTATTAAAAAAATTGATAAATATTTTTTAATTTTATAAAAATAATAATTATCAGTGGTAATAAATCATACTTTCAAATATTTGTAACGGGACATTGCTTTTGTATAATAAGATGCAGCATATCAGGATAAAATCTTGATCATTATATAAAAAAATAGCTCCACGGTCGGTTCAATACTTTTCATCCTCTTCAGGTAGTCGTCCGTCCTGTCAAAAGATGCCGCCACCAATGCTCTGAGGGCTCGAGCCGGCTTGAGTGGCAGGCCACGAAAATCGCGTTTTGGAGTTTCGAGTCAGCTTGCTCGAGCGAAAACCTGGCTTCAGCGTGTTCTCTTGCACAGGCGCTCTCCTATTTTGACCCTTGCAGCTTTTTTGACTCGCAGGCTGACATGCAAGCAGCTCTCATATATATTGTGTGTTTTGCTGCTTCGTTTTTTATCTTCTCCCAGCCCCCAGCCTTGTATTATATTGACGTAATGCTAATGAACAATTTACTTTGCGGCTGGGAGTTAATTAAAATTCATCATTTTTCTTTTTATTTTTGGAAATTATTTAATTAAACCATTGATAAGCGTTTTATGAGATTTCACTTTATTTACAATGACATCTTTCAATTTTTTCTGCGTTCGCACTTCGTCACATTGCAACATATAGAGCTCGCCACGTAAACAGGAATTTTCGAAAAATAAAATGTTAAAACGCCTTGATTTATTTTTATTTATTTTCAGTAAAGCAGTAGTTGTTTCCTCGCTTTCATTAGGATAGAAATATTTTTTATTTGTTACAAGAAATAATTCAACGACAAATTCAGGTGTAATTCTCACATCATGTTTTCATTGTACATTATACAAAACCACACAATCAATAATAGTATAATTGCTGTCATATATCTCGTGCATAACCATTTAAAATCAACATTACAAAAAACGTAATTGCATCTTTGTTCAACATGAGTAAGGAAAAATTCTGCAAATAAATATTAAAAATATTGCTTTATGGCATTTAGAAAAAAAATCAACTTTCTTTCTTACCCTTGCGCGATAATCATCAGCATTTTGACTGCTCTAATTATCTTTTTTATTTAATTCAATTGCAATTTAATAATTACACTATAGCATCAGAGAGAGTTACATTACGGGATATTTGCATTCATTTTTTAATTGTAATTTGATAGCATAAACGACACCAGTTCCTAGTTTGATATATAAATTGATGGGCTATTACACACTAATATTCATATAAATAGTACACGTAGCTGCTTAAACACTTTCCGTTTACAGACTATTTGCAATTCCATAAAATTTGCAAGAGAGGGACAGTTGATGACGCTTCGGGATGACGCAAAATACATAAATAGTTTTCTCAAAGCATCCCCTGTATATGACTAAATATCATCAGCAGTAAACCCCTCTGTGTGATTTTTTTTTAATAATTATTTAATTACACAAGTAAATTCCTTGTTAGAGAGCCGCAAAATATTTTTGTTCACAAAATTTGTCACTCCATGGGCAAGACGTGGTTGAGCGTGGTCAAAAATTTAATAAGTAAAAAAATCATACAGAATTTCAATGTTATCAATTTTTATATTCAAGTGATATATTTTTGCTTCTTTTGTCCAATCAGAGAAAATTTGGAACTTTTCAAGCAACTTGTGACAGTTTTTGTACTTCCTGCATTGAGAGGCATTTGTATTTTATATCCTAAAATTGGTGGAATCCAAATTTTCTCCGTTTTTTCTTCAATTTCAGCTATGTAACCTTTTTTTATTCAAAAATCACTTCCCCTATATCAATGTGTGATGTTTAATTTATTATAAATTTTCTCAATTACACAGAGTGAATGTTAAGTTTATAATGCCACAAACACAGACATTTACTTTTATTCAACTACGAGAGGATGGACGACTTTACCTTTATTACCTCAACACTGATGCAAAACAAATTTTTTATATATAATATTCTCCAAAAATGCTATTCCACCAATACGCGTTACATTTAAGAGTCAATAATTCAATTACACAAAGAACAAGGTGAGACGCGGCCGAGCACGATTTTTGAACCGCCCCGACCAACGTAGCTGCCACGATACACAAAAAAGATGTACATAAATAATAAAATCAGTTTACCTGTTTAATTTTTTGTCACGACGGGACATTTCTTATAATAAAGTGTTCTTCTTCACGTCTCTGCAGTTTTCAATATAGAATTAATCAGATATATATAATTAATTATTCTAATGATGCGCGCTAGAAAGTCCTTTTTCTTCAATATACACGCAATTGTTTTCGAGGGCGCCCGCAACGCGCCCGAAAAAAATCGTCAATTAATATATTTATTATTACATTTAAAAAATAATAATAAACTTAAGAAAAAACAGTCACTTTGGCCTCTTTTGTGTGTATGTGTATGTAAGTGTGTTCAGAGTTTGTATATAGCTCGGTGAGATGAAGAAAAAAAAATCGTTTTTCCTCAACGTCAAGTGTCGCGGATCACTCGAATTGCGTAACAAAACGTGGCCTTGGAACGAATTGTGGGTTTCTCCGGGGGCCGGCGGCCAGTTCAGGCGGCCAGGCCGTGATGGTGGTGCAGCAGGTGGTGGTGTCCCGAGTGATGCCCACCGACCATGGCGCCCCCGGAGAAGGCCAAAGGTCACTGATGGTGGCCTTTGGACGCGTGGCCGTGGTGGTTGCTGGCGTTGTTGGTCTGCTGCGCCTGCTGCCGTTGGCTGTTCTTCTTGTTCTTCATGCGGCGGTTCTGGAACCAGATTTTCACCTGGCGCTCCGTCAGGTTCAGGTTGCGCGCCAACTCCCACCGCTTCTGCTTGGACACGTACGCGTTGAAGAGGAACTCCTTCTCCAGCTCCAGCGTCTGGAACTTGGAGTACGGCTTGCGTTTCTTGCGCACGGTCACGCTGCCGGCCCATTCGAGCGAGTTGCTGCCGCCGAGCACGCCTGCGAACAAAACGGAACGTCTCGTTACTGCCACCGCGTGATGCACGGCTCTCGGCGTTGCCTAAATTAAAACTCATGCAAAATTAAATTGAAAAAGAAGCATGCTTGAATTACAAAGAGAAAAGTTATCGGGGCTTTTAAACCACCACTACGATAATTAGAATTTGCCCAAAGATTTATAAAATATGATTTAATTATTGATAAAAGCATTTTTTATGATTTATTTGCAGAGGACAAAAAATGATGCTTATTGATTAAGCACACCCTAATTTTTTTTAAGGTGATTGAATATGGAATGAAATTGAAAATAAACAATCAGTAATAATTATAATAATTTAGATCAAAGGGGGACATAAAATATATTTTTTTTATTAAATAAAATTTAGATGAGAGAAAAATTGCAATAAAATTTCCATCAGAGTCTGACATATTATTATTTCTCCTCATAAATTCCACATATTTTTTTAATTCAAAGAAAAAATAATCAATTTTTGAAAGAGAAAATTTTGATTTTTTTAACTGCAAAATATTAAAGCAAAGATTTTCTGATAGCAAAAATATCAATGCCGCCATGAATAAGTTACTGTCTGTTTTTCAATTTTCTTTATTTTGGTTATAATTTTTTCCCTTGTCTAAATTATAATTTTTAATTTCCCCCTTAAAATAGCAATTTTATCTGCAGTTTGCGTGGCAGCAAAAATTTGTTATTCGCCTGTTTAAATCATTCCCAGCATCTAATTTCACACTGTGCGCAGGAAAAAACAATCTGATAAGCGTTTAGGGCACGCGGTACTGGTGCTGTTTTCTAACACAACAAACTCATTCTACGTCCTTCCCTCTGCTTTTTTAAATTTCTACCTCTTTTTTCTCCTCTGCGCGGCACTGCTTTGAAAAGCTAACTTAAACGAGGATTTAAATTTAAAATGAATATAAAAATCGAATATTTTAGCACTCTGCAAATATCAATTGAAATGGAATATATAAAATTTTCAATTGGCCAACAAGGCTGCATAAAATCTGAATAAATTGAGAAATAAAATCGATCCAATTTTTTTCCTCTTGCAGAGTTGTTGACAAATTTATTCTCTATAAATTTAAAAAAAAAAACCCACACGTGAACCTGCTTTTTTTTCTTTTTTCCTCTCGCAGTATATTTGCTAAATGAAATGCATTCCTTCAAGAATGTCCTTTATTATTTTCCTGGAAACGTGCTGCTCGGTTAAGAAATGGCAATAATAAATATCGACGCGGGCTGACAGTCAGTGAATGCGCCTGGGCTTTTTACACCTGCCAATTTCGCTATTGGACGCTGACTTGGGTTTAACACGCAGCTCGACGAAAAACGCGGCGCTGATAAAACAACAGGCAAGCTGCCAACTCGCATGCAGGTAAAACTGCCTGCCGTTGTCACACGGGGCAATACAAAATATGACATTATGGGTGTGTGGAGCAAGCATGAGCTGAGGAAACAAAATAAATGTTCGACGGCGATATACACCCATAGCACAGAGTGAGAGTCTCTTTTATATAATGTTCTGTGAGGAATGGCCCGGAGACAATGGGGAGGCAGGCTAGAGAAATCGTCGAGGAGGAAAATCCTTAAAGAAATTGGGTACAAAATGAGAAAGGTGGAAATTTTGTTTTTTATAAGATGAGGAAACTCGTTAAGTAATATGTTTTGTTTATTTAATATTTGAGCTATTAATTGGTTTTTCTTTCTGAAATTTAATTAATAACTTAATTTTGTACCATACAATAGGAATTTAAATTCCAAATGAAACATGAACGCATACTGATCCGCAGTCAGAAAGATAAGTTAATATTAATTATCTGTATATTAAAAACCAAATCTGACAGAAAATATATACAAAAAAATTTGTTTAAGTTGTTGAGTTATTACCAATATGATCTAGTATTACACAGCATAATAAATATTGGCATTAAAAAATCTAAAATTATTAATTTATTAAAATAAATCCAAATACAATAATTAAATATGCAAATGAATTTTTATTAAAAAAAATGAAATTAGATCATTATAGTTGTAATTCTTTAAAATTTATTTTACAATTAGCTATATAGCAAAAAAAATCAAGCCAAATCAGGAGCATGGAAATGAAGTCACTCGGCTTCGCTGTCTCAAGACGCAGCCGACAATAAGTGCGTGTACGAAAAGTTTTAATATTTTCGCATCGAGCGCGACCGGCAACAATGCTCGCTTGTACATGAGAATTTGCAAGCAAACGCTCTTTGATTGCCATCGCGCTCGCGAGCAAAAACACAAAATTTTTCAGTTCGCCGCACATGCTGACTGTGTTTTAACTTTTACGTCTCTATAATGAGCCGGAGAGCCGCCGTCAAGAGGTCACGTTTCTGTATTTTTATATATTTGTTTCTTTTAAAAGAAATGACACACAAGAATGCACATAAAAAAAAACAGCAGATTTCCGTGACATTCGCAAGCATTATTTTATGCTGGTGATAACAGCTCGTTTTGAGAATTTCGTAGTATTAAGTAATTTCTTAATTTGACAATAAGAGATAACACGTGTTTCTCCTATTAAAAATATATAATTATATAGAAAAGATTTAGATCCTTAATTAAAATTAGCTAAGAAAAAATATACGGATGAATTTAATAAAATTTTCACTGTCCACGAAACACTTTAGGTTATGCTCATTTATAAAATTAAATTTATATAACTGACACGTCTCATCACATGATTTTAAATTAGTATTCAGCAATGCCCCTCTCTTTCTCATAACTGCTCTCATTAGATGAGAAGAAGCAAATTCTCAGCAGCAGTCATCACTAAAAGGGTCCGAAATTCTTAAAAGTCACTTCCATTGAGATATAATTTTTTTTCCCTCGAGAGCAAATTTACACGCGAGAACAAGGCTATATAGTATAAATTTCAAATGCATTTTGGATTGGAATTTTTCTCGAGAATATAAATCGAGCTCATTGAGTTTGTGTCGCCCCATTAATTTTCCAGCTCATCAACTTCAGCCGCTCTCCGAAAATCGGCCTAGCCTGCTTTGAATACATATCTGTCCCGAAAAAGAGCTGCAGCCTCTTTCTCAAAAGCCATTTGCCGGGGCGTATTGATCAGGGTGATGAGTGATGTTTGAGTGATCGCGCATACACTGTGGCAGAGGAATTTCCTCCGACGTAATTTATTCGTCCTAAACGCCTGCTCCGGCGGCGGCGGCACACACGAGGATATTGCGTCACTTTTGGCTCCAAAACAAAATCCTTCGCGGGAGCTCCACATACACAAAACTCAAGTGAGAGTGAAAGTGATTTTCCTGAAGCAGCGCGCGGCATCCACGGAAATCAAAACAAACGCTCCCTCTTATATGCCTTTGAGCCCATCGACGGACCAGCGGGCGAGAAACAACCTGGGGTCGCTGCTTTGTGGCTTTTGAAGCCGCCGGCGACATACGCGAAGACCGTTTGAAGCCTGGGAGGAGTTTCGGGAGAGAGAAAAAAACTAGTCCCCTCGTCGCTGTATAGGAAAAGGGCCTGTTTATATGTATGAGGGACAGATGCAAAGCGAAAGAGAGGCGAAAGTTAAAACTGTGGCCATCTATTGGCCCTAGGACTAATAACGCGCCTTCTAAATTTAGGCCCGGGTCTTTTTTCGACTCAAACCTCGATCGAGTGGAAATAAAAAAAGCAGCCCGGCCGGGAAAGTGTGTGTTTATGTACGGCGGCGTTCGATTCGCTGGCACTTTTCCATGCGGCATGATGAATGACTTATTATTGGGCGGTCATAAAAGGATGATAAAAATCATGCGCTAGCTGCTGGCTGGTTTAGCCTTTTTTATTATTATTTTACACACACACAGCAGAGAGCGAGAGCAGTTTAAGAGGTGTGAATTTTATTGCACTATTAATATAAAATTAAGCGGCGGCCGCCTGCTTTGCTGCCGGGTTTAAAACCTAGGTCAATACAGTGCGTATTGCCACCACCAGTTTAGGGTAATAAAATTTAGACATTAAAAGTTGTTATGCCTCATCACATGCTATTTTCCTATACCATCCTTGCAGCAGTGCCGCCAACGCGAAACAAACGCCCCTAAACGCCTTGTTTCTCTTTATACAGGTGGGCGATTCCGCGTAATTTTATTTGGCCGCGCGCGACTTCTGAAGAAAAATAATAAAAATGCTGCTATATAAACCAGTTGAGATTATGTTAAGTGGCAGACCGTTTTATTCAATATATGCGATAGAATCACAACAAAAAAGCTTTTTACTGTTTCGTTTTAATTTTTCTCAAATAATTTTATGCTTTGAAAAATTAGCATAATAACAGATTTTAACAATTAGAAGATGAAAATTGAATAATAATAATAAATACTTTTCCATCACATTCATGTGAAGCTGAATAAATTAAATTTGATTTAATTGCAAAATAAATTATAATAATGCTTAGAATTATGGCCGTTAACATTTATGATTGATATTAATAACGCCACGAAAGTAATATTAAAGAACTGGATTATAAGGTCGATTATATTGACAACTCTTTGCAATTAAATTTACCTTTATATATAAAGAAAATTAAATAAATCGTCAATATAGACAGCAATTACAGAAAAGTAAACATAGAAATGCATGAGTAAATATTCTAATTTTCTAGGGTAACGTATTATGTAAATTTATAGCATTATATATATACAAACAGTTGGGCAAACCGTTGAAAAAAAAGAGATTGAAGCCGGAGATAATTTTTTAATTTATCACCGTAGGAACAGGAGCAGAGAGTGACCAGTGCGCAATGACGAGCTGGTGAGAGGCAAACTAGGAATATATATTTTTTATATAAACTTTTAATAACGGCGGCAACCGGTTGAGGGACACTAATTTATTGAAATGCGTCTGCGGCTTCATTACATACACGTATGACGCGAGAGTGCCGCTTTGCTCGCGATCAACGCGCGGAAAAATCAACGCCAGCTGAGCAGCGAGTTAATTGGAATGAAGATTTTTACGATTCTGATCATGTGTGCATATAAGTTATGTGGTTGAGATAATTCTGGCCGTCCAGAAAACCGTTTCTCGAGAAATGTGATATTTTTATTTGAAAATTCAGATCAGTTATCGTTAATTAATTATAGAAATGAAGATGAAAATAAACATCAAAAATTTTTCATCATGTTATAAACAAATTCATCCGAAATTAAGTTCGACATTAAATGGTTATTTAGTTGCGCACATTGTTTATTTACAATTCTTTAATTATTTTATCAGCTGTTGTAAATATATATTAATATATTTATATAATTGAGAAATAAAATTATTATCAAGAAACACCTAGGTGCGAATTTTTTTTAAAGTTCCCTCGCGTTGTAATTATAAAGCATGGTTTAATAAATAAATAATTAATAAAGAAAAAATAAATTAAATAAAAAAATTTTCTATTGAGTAAAATTAATATGTGTATAAATCTCTATAAATATTTAAAATAATTAAAAAACTGATATAAAGTATTATTTAAAATATAATAAATTTTAAATATTAAAGTTTTTTATAAAAGGCATATTACAGGAAACAATTCCTACTGTCTAGCCAAGCAAAATTGTAAATGTTTTTAAGTCAGGACTGTTTGGACCACTTTTTCCCCTGTATTATCCCCAAAGATATGAGAACTGCTGACGGCTGTTGAATAAATGGGCCTCGTGCTTGCTTCTGCTGGGCTCCGCGCGCGCAGGCAGCATTATTATACAGGGGCCGCATGACAGTAGTATTTGAGCACGTAGCTTTATTGCTCCCTTGACTGTGTGTGCTGCACTCACATTGAGGGCCTCAATGGCGAGGATTTATCACTGTTTGGCCCTATTTGCAGCGGCGCTACGACAGCACAATTACGCCAAATAATCGCAAATATTTGTGCAATAATTTTGACTTACGCGCGAGTCTTTGGCCACTTTAAGTTCAATTTGCGGATTTTGGAAACTTTTTCCCTATACATGCTGATAGTAAAAATTAAATTAATTTATAATTATTTTATAAAAAAAATATTTATTTTATAATTTTGTAGCAAAATAATTAAAATAAAAATTTCTTTGGGCAAATTTATGAAAATTTATATATAAATCATGCATAATAATAAATTATGAAAGAGGTGAGATATGCACCTTTTGTCTGCTTACCTGGAGGTGGCGGGTAGGGTGTGGCGGGGTCGCTGCCCGCGTAGTTCCTGAGGCCGTAGGTGTCGTGAGGGAAGGTTTCCATGGCGGCGCGGCCACGGTCCTCGGCGGCCGCAGCGGCCGCGGCCGCCTGCAGGTAGGTGCCCTGGTCGACGTGGTGGTGCGGCACCCTGGTGGCGTAGGGCGAGTAGTGCCAGGTCTGTGCGGCGAAGGCGCTCTGGTCGGCGCCGGCCATGCCGGCCGCGTGTCCAGGACTGTACTTGTACTCATTGGGCGGCCAAAAGGAGGAGAGGGCGGCCGAGACGGCCGCCTTGCTGCGGTCTGCCGAGGCGCGGCCCTCGGGGGCCAGGTTGTAGTAGGTGGGGGTCATGGCGTCGCGGTTTGCGTACTGCGGAGGCTCGAAGGCTGCGGCCGCGGTGGCTGCGCTGCTGTCGTTGTGGTTGTGGTTGTACGTCCAAGGTTGCGTGCCGTGGTGCGAGTGTCTGATGACCCCGGGGCCTCCGGAGGCGGCGCTCGAGTCCGACGGCGGGCTGCAGTCCGAGTAGGCGCCTAACCTCTTGGCGGGAATGTGCAGGGGCCCTGACGCGGCTGCAGAAGTGGCTGAGGTGGTGGTCGGCGTCGCCGGCGAACTGCTGCTGGGGGTGGTGCTGGGGGCGCTGGTCGTGCTGCAGGCGACGGTGGTGCTGGTGCTGTTGTTGCAGGTTGCAGGTTCCTCCGGATATATGGAGTTACCTGCACCATTCATCATCCCCCACCAGGGCGCCGAGTTGTTGAAGGTGCTCGCGGCGGCGGCTGCGGGGGCATGACCGTCCATCGGGTCGGACATGTCCGGCGGCGGATGGTGGTGCAGGTGGTGGTCATTTTGCGGAGGCGGCGGGGGCGGATGTTGTTGTTGGTGGTGGTGTTGGTGATGGGGTTGGTGGTAAAGGTGGTTGACCAGGTGGTCGCCGCCGCCACCCGAAGGGGGGTGGTGCGGAGGCGTGGTTGAAATCACCGTTGTGGCGGCGGTCGTCACGACGGGGGCAGCGGAGGCGGCGACGGCGGCCCACGGGTGTTCGTACACATCCGTGGTGGTGCAGGTGGTGGAGGCCGGCGAGGTGGACAGCGGCGACGGCGGGTGGAAGTAGCCGGACGTCGACGACGGTTGCAGCAGCAGCAGGTTCGGCGAGGCCGGGGGCGTCGTGGCGGAGGCGGCGACACCCGATGGCGGGGGCGGCGGTGGATACACCACGGCGGACACAGGCCAAACCACGCCGGTCGCCACAATTACGGTCGGCGGGGGCAGTGAGTTCAATGGTTGGCGGACGAAGGCGCGCGCGGGGGCGAGCGAGGGAGCAGAGAGATGGAAAAAAAGAAGGTCACCAGATTAGCTCAGGTGTATTGCATACCTGATGTCAGGTCCCTATATCACATCTTGCGGCACAAAAAAGCAGTCGGAGGCCCCCGATCGGCCCCGGGGCGGGTGGAGAAAAAAATTTGAGTGTTTTTCAGGGTCGGCGGCGGCTGGCAGGAGGCCGGTGCGAGTCGCGGCGCGATCACGTTGTCCCGACGGGGAGCGACGTTTTTTGCGATGCGCACCCGAGCAGGGTTGGAGCGGCTTTGATTGACAGTGCGAGTGCTAGGCTGACGGCGTAGCGGGCGAGCGAGGCCCCACTGGCCGCCAAGCATGCTTACGAGATTGCGCGCTACTACATTGGCTCAATGGATCACGTGACGTAATTTCACCCAGCTCTCCGGCGAGTGGGGGAAATTTAACCAGAGGGGAAGATATCGAAAAATTGGTGCATGCCGAGGCCTTTGTTTTTCTACATTACACCGGCTCGATTTTTAATTTTTGGTGTATTTATTTTTATTTGAAATTGGTAAAATATTGGAAATTTTTAGAGCGCCGCGCCGAACGCGAGCCGAGGGTTTTCACCCCGAGTGCTTTTTTGTCCAAAAGATTTCTTTGTTAGGCCGTTTCTTTGTTGCGCCTGCTGCAGCTTTTTTACCTGGGGGCGTTGAAAGTCATAAAAGAAGCGAATCCCTTTCAGTTTTCACTGACCAGTAACCCTCGGGCATCATTGTTTCGCTTTGCTTTTTGCCCTTTTCTGTCCCAACCCCCTTTTAAAATTTTCTGTCTGCCTAAATTTAAATAAAAATTGCTCGAAATTAATTTTAAAAAAATTCTTAAACCGAAATAAAGAAAATTAAACAAAAATCAACAGCTGAGAAAATTAAATTGGCAGGCATCGAGTGAGCACTCGCTGAGATAAAGGCACTCGGATCAAAAGCGAAGGCGCTCTACCGACGGCGGGGAGGAGCCGAGCTCGACGCCAGCGAACCTGGCGAAAAAAGAGCCAACTTTTACAATCCGCTCTTTTGCGAGGCGGCGTTTGAATATTTTATAACACTGCTGAGCGATTCCATTTAATTCCGACCTTTCTCCGTACTTTACGGCCGCAGAATTAATTCGAGCACGCGGCAAATCCGTCTGAAAGGTTCCGAGAAAAAAAGGGTTGCTGTGCCGGTCGCTTTCTACCCCGCAAGGCACCGATAACAAAGGGTGGCACCACACAAAGACCCACCTCGTTTACACAAACTTTCTACGCACTGGGAACGAGAATGTTTCTGCCTGATTAGCGCCTGCGACGCAAACGGGAAAGGTCAATATTTGGCCTGTGATTATTTTAAGTAATTGCTTATGCCGAAGTTCCCAACCTTTGTTATGTTAATCGGGAAAAATTATCGGAGTTTTGGGCGCCAGGAGGCCTCGACTGCTTTTGTGTCGTAAAATGCAACTTATGAATGGGACACTGGAATTTTTTTAATGTACTTTGTAATTAGAATGTTACCTTGGATACTGGCCAGGGTAGCTGCTGTCGGGAACACACAGCTCGGCCTGAAAAAGAGAGAAACGTTACACACAAAAATTTAAATAGTTTATGCTTTAACAAAAATCTTTTCATTTTTACAATATATACTTAATTTTGCCAATTGAATAGACAATTAATCACCATCCTATCAAAATTGAAACATCTTCTTGCTGTTTTTTGGCTTGATTTTTGGGGTTACAGATATACAAAATAATAATTAATAAATCAATATAAAATTATATTTTAAATTGTCTTCCCAGAGAATTGCAAACGTTTAACTTTCATAAAATTCTCTTTGTGCTTGGATTTTTAGATCTAGACACAGCTGGTGCGTAAATTTTGTGCCCACACTTGCGTCTAATTTGAGAAATGTGTTCACCAGCAGCAAAAGCACATCTCACAAAGGCTGAAAGGCACACACTACAGAGGCAAAACCACGCCGAGAGAGCATTTCACAGAGTCAAACGCTACTGTCCTACACACATTTATTTTCACAGAGGTGTGAATTTGGTATGTTTGCGCCGAGCACACATGACTAGGATGCTCACTTAATAATTCAATGTGCTAACTGATGGAAAACTTCAAAGGGTTCCGACGTGCCTTCTGTTTTGTTCGCCTGAAGATCTCCTGGGAAAAAGCTGTGCTGGTTGGTTATGCTTTTTAAGCCTTGAAAGAAACTCCGAATTAATCGCATAAATTGTTAATAATACTCATGTTAAAAAATAAACTGAAGTATTTAAAAACGTTAAATTACTTTTATCTTTCACGACTTTTTCATTATTTGATTATAAAAATAAAATAATAGATTTTTTTAAATTAACTTTTGATCCTTTTTTATTGATTCACCTTTACACAGTAGTAAGAAGATCTGATATTTGAAATTTAGTTGAAAAATTTTTATTTAATAAATAAATACATTTTTTATATTCAATCATCAGCATAGCAAAATGAAACAATTTTAAAATAAATAAGATTTCCTAATTTTGTTCGAGGTTATGTGCAAAGATGTAAAATGAATGAAATCTTAAAAATTATGTGAATTTTGAAGGAGAAAAATTGGGCTTCAAAATTAAAATTAATAAAATTTTGTAATAAAATTTTTGTTTAAATATCCAGCTCAATGATGAGAAACGAAAAATATATTTTGCAAACCTGAAATATTTTTATTTCTTGACAAACATAATATTTGCCCAAAAGGGTTTCTTGCTGAAACTGGTTGAAACATGATCTGTTTAGACTCTCTTTCTGCTATGAAGAAGAATTTTTCTTTTCGCTTTAATTTTTTTTAAGTTTCCATATCAAAATTTTCAGCATACACAAAAACTTTTGATTTTCAATTGGGGTATAAATGAAAAACAAACTTAAAAACGGATCATTTGGAATGCAATATTGTTTCAATTAACTTCATAGCCTCTAATTTATGCATGTAATTATTTGCAACAAATGGCAATTGGCTAAACTGAATGATGAATTTACGAGAGAACGCACGAGCCGCGGGCTGGAAAGGGTTAAGTGGTGCGGTGCTCGAGGGACACGCCTCGGCTGCTAGCAGCGGCGAGTGATAATTTAAACTGCCGGATGATTTAGATGGACGGCTCTCTCTCATTTGATATGCATTTTCTGTGAGCTCGTTGGTGTTTATTTTGAGAGAGGCGCGCGGTGCGTGCAATCGCTCTAGATATACACATAAGCGGGCCGCGCACCATAATGAGGCCCATGCAGAGCGAGAAAGAGCCTCCGAATGTAAACTGTGTGTGTATCGAAAACACTGCGCGCCACATTTATAAAAGGAACCCTTTGATCTTGGGCGGCGTGTTTGTGTGTGTGTGCACTGCTCTGACGTGACAACATCAGCCTCGTCTAATTGTATACAAAAAGAATCGACAGCCCGCTAAAGAAGCAAATTTCCAGCAGACTAGCTCGCGCAGGACATGAGATGTGATCATCCGAAACTTATGTTGGTCTAACAAATTATTTGAGAGAGGAAGAATAAGGGTCGGTGACTGCGCGCAATCGTCGCCTTTTCAAAACACAAATTTAAAAGATCAAAAAGGTGAACCGAAACCAAAACAGAATAGAAGAAAGGGAGTTTCAAAACATTTTTTTATTTTTTATTATTATTTGATAAACAAAATATTATACATATTATAGTTAAAGATAAAGTTTAAAATTAATTGGTGTTGCTATAATAATTTTTTTAGGGTGTCTTGGCCTGCGACCTTTTTGGGAATGCTGAAGGCAACACCAATTTTTTTTCTTTTTTTCTTTTTTTTTTGGCAGATTAATTGGGTTCAATGATACAAATTTTTAAAATTTTGACTCACCTGCTTGACAATTTGAACGGAATCGTGGTGTTTAATTTGAGGACCAAAGATCATGAACACAACGCCGCCTTCCTTCTGAGAATTTTCACCTGAAACAACTACAGGAGAGAAAATAATTAATTAATTGGGCTGTTCAAAATTACATAAGGGAGAAGCGCGTCACCGCGTTTTTTTAGAGCTGCGGCAATAAATCAATTATGAGTAAACAAATGATAATTAGCCACAAAAATTTCATCATGATAATAGAGAGGCTATTGTATTATGTAGTCAATTATAAATTAAAAAAATAAATAAACGTTATTTTTGCTTATACATTAGTTGGTTACAATTATCTTGAATTGTTCAAGATTTATACAGATTTATAGAAATAACAGACCAAAAAAGTTAAGTTTTCCTCAATCAATATGCAAACGTTATAAAAAAATGTAATTGATCATTTTTTTTCTAAAACTGTTAGTCATCATCATCAAATCAAATTTGATGAAAAAAAATAAAGTTTGCAATTTTTTTTTCACTTTTGTTGTTGGTTTTGTAACAGATATGCGAAACATTAACACAATGGTAGGTTTTATATTCCATAATTTATATATTATTACACTTGTGCTAATCTATTTTGGTTTTTGATTTTTCAACTTTCGTTTTAGCAAAATATTTTCCAGCAGTTGCAAGCAATGGTTTATTTTGGTCCAAAAATTAAAAAGTTCCCCTCGCAAACAATTCTTATTTATTGTTTTCAATAGAATTTAATTTTTTTCGCAAAAATTTTGACACGGAAAAATAAAAAAATTTATTATTAATTTTTTTAAATTTTATTTTAAATATTTTAATCTGGAAAAAATATTGAAAAAAAGACATTCAATTTAAGACTTGTTTTGTTTACAATAGTGAAAAAAGCTAGATTTTGTTAAAGCAGAATTGCACTGATATATCTTGGTAGAGATGCATGAAACCAATATAATGTGTTTCGTGATGCTTCGGAGTGACTCTCACACCGAAGCATCTTTGATAATTTGGGTCGCACGCATAAAGGCGGAAAAGGAAGCCGCGAATTACCAGCTGATTTCCCATGGTGCACAAGACGCGGCACCAACAAACGCGGGCGCAGAAAAGAAAGAAGCGACGTGTGCAATTATTGGCAAGCACCGTAAGAAAGGCGCGCGGAGGCTGAGATTTGTGCATCGCGTGAGGACCAGCCACTCTCATCCTTCAGGATGAGCCGGTTGTAAAAATATCTCGGCAATAAGTTGCGGGAAAAGTGAGGCACACACACCTCAGAGCGCTTGCAGTGCCGCTCACTTTATGGCCAGATAAAATAATCTTTTATTGCTTGTAAGTAATTTGTATTATAACAATAATTATGCCGTGATTTACTGCTCCTGCTCTCTACTTACTCAATGTAAACATTTACTTTTTGCCCGAATATTGAAAAATATATAAATTGTAGAAGTATTATTGGCAATATTTTTGCAATCTTCCTTATTTTAATTCTAAATTTGAGTCATAATTGGCTCATCAATAAATGCCCTGAAGGGAAATTGGTAATTAAATTAATTTATTAATAATAAATTAAGTTATAAACATGCCTCAAACTATATATTCATTATTTTTTTTCTATCAGGCTAAAAGACGTATAGTTAAGTTTCATGTTTTGTGCCCTTTTCTGTGCTCCAAGAAGGCAGGTTTTTTTAGGAGAATTTTTAAGTTTATTTAAAAAAATTCACATCATAATTTTTTAATGCAGTTTTGGTACAATACATTTTTTTATGTTTAGAAATAAAAATTAATTAAAATCTTCAAAGATAAAGCCTAACTGAAAAAATCATTAGATAAAATTTTAATTTTTTTCTTTATTAAAAGCGCAATGAGCAATTTCATATATTAATTCAGTATATAATAATAATAAAATTATAAAATCAATTATTACAACAATAAATGAAGATCAAATAATATGGAATTAAAATCTTATTCATCATAAATTTTAATAAAGAAAAAATATTTTATTTCAATAAATCAAGCAACTTTTGTAATAAACATAATAAACTCGTCAGAATAAAATAGTAATAATATTTTTTCCAACGCAAATTTAATTTTCTGAATTTTTAAAGGTATTGCCCCAGGAAAAGATCCTCCTGAGAGCTTCAGAAGTCATCGCATACGAAAGTCTATTTAAATTCTAACGGTGCTTGTGAGGAGAGATCCTATGATTAAAAAAAAGGATGCGACGGCTGTAAAACTCGAGCGACTGAAACATCGGCCTAATGAGAATTATGGCTTAAGGAAGATTGACAGGAAGTGCATTTCGCTAATCGTGCGGCTGCCGGCAAAATCTGTGAGACTAAAGTGCGAGCCGAGGTGCATTTGGCTGATCCCTATTTACGCCTCGTCCTCCAATACGGACCGGCCCCGAGGGCGGAGCGAGCCAAATCATGGTCGTCCACAGCGCTGTCGTCGGCACGGAAATCTCTCGAGTTACTCACAATCGATAGCGGACTCGCGGCAGCTCTCTTTTTCGGGACCAGAAACTCAATTATCTTAATTTACGCTCTCACCATATTTTATGAAACGGAGACACGCAGACTTGAATTTTTATTTTCGGCCTTGGACTATGGCATAAAAAGTTGGAAATTTTTAGATTAAGCAAGGAATATAAATGTCTGAAAAGTTAAAAATGCTAATTATGATTCAAAATTTATTATTCCCTCGGTATTTAAATCTTTAATCCGGATCATATACATAATTTATTTTTAAATCTCTCTAGGTAATAACGTAAAATTTTACATTAATATTAAGAGAATTTTTTTTTATTTTTTTTTTTTATGTTTGCTTATTTTTATTGATGGATCAGTATTTTTATAAAATCTCTTCAAGTAATATCTGATTTTCTTCCAAGTTCAGGAATTTATCAAATATGCTCAATTTTCTCTCTATAGCATGGGGTGCGCACTTACAGCCTGAAAGTGCGAGAACCGCGTGTCAATAACGTTCACCGCTGCGTTCTGTATAAAAGGGGCCCATTAAGAGGTTATTAAATGGCTTCTGATCGTTAATGCTTCTAAAGGGTTGTAAATATGCCCTGCAGGTAGTCCGCTCTCTGCTGCTCTATGCGTGATGCGCGCACACACACATACAAACATTTTGGAAGCACTTTTATGATGTGCTTATAAACTATGAGAAAAGAGTTTCGTCTACACCCCATGCATGACGGACCCTGTTTAGCTCCGCAACCCTCTTCAGCCGTCTTGGTTTATTTTTTACCGGATCATTTTCCAACAGCAACGAGAACTTTTATTGACATATAAATTGTTGGGAGAATTAATTTAAACAGTCGTTTGCAAGTACTTTATAATTTACAAATTTTCATAATGAATTTATGCGTTTTATTACAATGTAAATTTAGTATGATTTTAAAAGGAATTTTTCTTTTAACAAATTTTTGTTCTGATAAAACTGTGTAAATACAAGGCATTTTTTTTTTTTTAAATAATGAAAACCTAACCAATTTTTTCACTTCAAAATTAATACTCCTAACAAATAATAAGAATTACATACTATTGGTTAGAAAATTGATCCTTTTTTTAATTGCAATGCTTTTTTCAAATTAATTTTACAATTTTATAATAAAGGGAATGAAAAAACATATTATTTAATTCCATTTAAAAATATAGAAAATTTTTGTCCCGCCGAAAAGGGTTTTAAATTTTAAGCTTCAAAGCTTTTTAACGACGTGTTTGTCTGCCGCAGCTTTATATTTAACGTTTGTTTTGAAGAATTTCCGTTTCACACAAATTAAGTCATGCGCGCCAGGCATTTTTCGCCTCTCTCGCGTTAAATTTAAAGTCTGCACCCCCGTGTGCGTGCTCAGAGCCGAGCAAACACATACGCAGCATTATGTTTAATTGTACTTTAAATGTGTTACTTTTAATGCTATTTATTTAGACCGCGCGCCACGGTTCTACTATGAATGTCATTCACAGACGCAATAAAACTTTTTATAGCCATTTCAGAGGCTCATACTCATCATGCAGCATTTTTATCTGGCTCTCTCTCGCGGCGGGCACTTATTGAAAAACACAGCCCTTCCATTCATTGTCCAGTTGATGCACTTTTTTGCCCAAACCTTTTGCAATCCTCGGCCGGATTATCTCTCTGTTGGTTTAATTGGGTTCGCCACACGGCCGAGGGCGATAAAATAAAGGCAATCAGTGAAATTGCGGCCCAGGGACCAATTGCTTGCGGTCTCAATTAAGACGGGCTGCTGCCGTCGCTGCAAATATATATAAGAGAAGATGAAGAAGGTCCTCTCGCTCGGAGAGCTTGTGTCATTTGGGTCTCTTTCGCTTTCGCGCTGCTGATGAGAATGGAGCTATAAAAATTACAGCTCGGTGTGTGTGCGACCGCTGAGCAAACAACTTTGCACAATTACTTCTTGTTTCAACAAAAGAAAAAGGAACAGGCAAGACAAACACATGACTGCACGCAAAGCCTCAAAGGAGGCGGCGGCGTCGCCCACTCTCTCGCATTTTCGGCAGATTACACGCCAAAGAGCTTTTCTCAGAATCCCACCGCAGACAGGATAAGTCAGCAAAAATCTCAGAATAAAGAAAAATACAGAGAACAAAAGGGAGTGTGCAATTTGAAAAAAAGTTTGTAATTTTCGGATAAGTCAGAGGTGAGCTTGAGGCAAATATGCAACCTGCAAAACGTCAATGCAGGGCAATTTGCCAGAAACGGGGAATTTTTTTATAAAAAAAATAATACAAAAATATTTTCAATTGAAAACATTTTGCAAACATTTTACTTTTTGACTTAAAATGATTTCAAAATAATCTTCAACTGCTTTTAATGATCATTAATTTTTTAATTTAACATTATCTTTTTATTGTTATTTTTTATTTTAATTATATAATTTAAATTTAATCGTTTCAAATATTGCAATTTTCAAATTTTGTGCTTATAATTATCATCTTTTCTCTCAATTATATTAACTTGTATAATTTTGAATGTATAAATGATGTATCCCGTTAGGGCAGCAATTGCCTTTGAGATAGATCAATAAACACAATTTGCAACTATAATATAATAAGTATATATTACCTTTTTGGTGAAGACAAAACATAATATCAGATTATACAATCATTTGACTTTCATGGTCGCTGATACCAGCGTACAACTAAAATTATTTCTTAAATAATGTTCAATGTGAAAAAATAATTCAATTTAACAAGAGTGAAATTAGATTTAAAACTTCAACGTCAAAAAAATTTCAAAAAACTAATGAATTCAAAAAAATTGGAGTCTCCTCCTACCTGCCATAAGAAAAAGTTATTTATAATTATTTTAAATTTAAGTTTTTTTGTCTGAAAAGGAAAATTTGTCCCCGCATGCGGCAAACAATAATTTTAATATTTTTTTACAAATTATAATTCTGTAATTGTTCTTGATAATGCTTAAATAATTTTTATCAATGAAATATATTGACTATTTGCGAGCGACTCACCTAATAGCTTTCTAATGTGTATACCGCACCACTTCATCTCTTCACAACAAATGACTGTGCAACTCTAAAAATTAGCACCGCGACCTCCTCATATAGCTTATTTTCAACACCCATATGGATCACACGCTTCCCCTAGCTTAAACGTGAATGGCTGCTCTACTTTATATATTTATCAAAGAGCCGCATTAGTATTAGAAGAGAGACCCCCTTTGACTTTTCAGTGCATAGTCTTGTCTTTTGGCGCACACGTAAGGCCACATAGGTTGTCTGTCATAGCTGCGAGTTTTTCCTCAGAATTTACGATTGCGTCTCAAGTGCTTAGGTGTGAAGCGACGCATCGCCCCTCGGGGAATCCATATCGTGATCTTTCCGTATGGAGATTTGTTTCTCGCGCGTATGCACTCGCATGCTCCTTTGGCTTTCAGCTTCTCTGCTGTGACGAGGTGTGGAAAATTCATTTCAGACGTTCAGACACGCCAGCTTTCCGCTGCCAGTTTATTTATTTATTTACTCGCACACAAAACCAACTGACTCATAAATATTAAAATACACGCAGAGTCCATATTTCAAGAGAACTTTTGTGAAATGAGAAATAAGCAGCCATTTTTGTATAAACCGCCAGTTCTAATTTTGTGCTTGGAAAATGTAATGTAAATTGATGCCAACTGATTAATTTTTACATAATAAATGAAAAAATTACTGCATAAAAATTTTACAAATTGAAAAGGGAGAATTCTGCAATATTTTACAATTATGGAATAGCAGAATGAAAAATAATAATTTAAATCATCCCCTAATTTTTAATAAGATTTATATCGCTTTACAGCATCAATTTTATGAGTATTTAATTAATTCATAATTTTTAATTTTATATATTTTTCTGTTTTTACTCTCATTGCTATACTTTCATATTTCTCAATAGAAATTGCAGTTTTTATGATCATTGCATGTGAGGCTTTCATCTTTCATCAAGACAGTTTCTGGCAAATGTGGAAATTATTCACGCTGCCCCTCACAACAAAAGATCGACTGCTGTTCATTATCGAGGCATAATATATATAATAAAACGATTGTTAAGCCTGGTCTGCCTCAATCGCAGTGTATGGAACGGACTTTTTGTCCTCTTTCTCTGCTTATTTTTTTTTTTTTATCTTGCTGGTCATCTGTCACCCCCGATATTAAAGTGGCGGGCGAGACTGGCGACTAACAACAATAAAACGAAAGAAGAAAGTAAGTGCATGCATCACTAAAGCCAAAGAAATGAGCAGAAATTGGATGGCCGCGCAGCAACAGCAGGCCATGAGTTGCATTAGGGCGGCAAAAGTTGGCCGACCACAATTCCAAAGTTGATTATTGCGTGCTGCCTACGTGGCCGACGTACCGAGCAGCCATTTTCGCAGTTGGCCGAGAATTATATTTTTATATTATTGCAGGCCACGGAGGCGCGGATGAGAAGAACTCATAAATCGAGAGCCGCTCATGCCCTTAATTGGGCGAGGCGCTTATTATGCAGCGCTCGTGCCGCTGCTTGCACGGAGATGCACGTCTGCTTTAATGAGCTACTGGCCAATTAGGCCGGAATCCAAACTGACATAGTGGAGTAATTTCTTAGGGAGAGAAGGCGGCTGCAATGAAACTTGATTAAGAATCCAGCTGCAGCTTATAGAAGAGCTCAAGTCCGAAAGAAAGTTAAAATGAAAATGAAGAAAAAAAAATGTATGCTCAAGTATGAAAATTGATCATTTTTAGACTCAATAAATGTGATAAATTTAGACAATTTCTGGATCACTTGATAATGATTTTCTAATCGTATGACTCCAGTTAGGAAAGTCAAAAAAACGTATGCATTATTTATTAATATACATCATTAAAATTTACAAATTAAGAGGATAACAAAAATGAAATCATCGCTAAAGGAAATAAAACAATTAAAATGAATATATTCTTAATTTAAAGTTATAAATAAATTAAAAGATAGCATATTGCAAAATTAAGTAACAAAAAGTATTTTTAGTAGTAAAATTAAACGTTTACATTTTAAAATAAATAATTTTAATTACGTGAAGTAGAATTTGATAGTTATTTTCAGTAAATATAAGCAAATTTTGTCCATTGAAATTTTGCTACAAATTTAAAATTTATTTCCCCTCGCTGTAAGTAATAACGTGTATTGAAGATGCTTGACACACTCGTGAGCAGCACCTTTTCATTCCAGTGGCAGCGTGAACGGGTTGCCATGACAACCCATCCGCTGGTGCGGTGCTGCTGAAGGGGTGCGGCGGGGAATCAAACCCAGCACCCCGCACCTCCTAGCGCTGCCTCCAAGCCTGGTGTGAAAAATACTGGGAATGCAACATGTGCTACGAATAACGTAAAATTTTCGCGGGCCTCATTTCCAAAATTGCCAAAAAAGAAAGAAAACAACAAGCCCGCCACCCAAATTTTAATCTTATTATGCACCAAAAATTTAATTATAAAAAAATTAAATAAAAATAGATTAAAAATGAATTAAATATTTGAAATTTGTCAGTAAATAATTAAAAACGTCATAAAATAAGTATATTTGCGAATAATTTTGGCAAATATCAATCGGCAGCATTGCGAATTGACGCCTGCCGTGCCGAGGCGCACCGAGTGTATCGATCTCGGCCTGGTAGGCGGCACCAGAGAGCACAATTTCGAATTTTCGCGCCTATACGCGACGTCACCGGTGTGTGTGAGGTCAGCGGCTGGCGCGTCATCGTTCGCGAAACTCGGGTGCACTTGCAAAAAAGTGCATATAGTGCAGCTAGGCGAGGTGCAGCGCGTCTAGTTTCACACTACCAGGATCACTGTTTCATGCTGCGGCAAGAGGTGGATTTTCGCGTCCGCGAGTCTAGGATGCAATATTTAATTGCACAAGAAGGAGTGGGAACATTGCAAAAGCCGCATGCACCGCGAGGGTGGTGGGAGGAGTGCAGTCAGGGGGCGACAGGTGGGGTGCTGGGTGGTGTTCTTGCCCAGCTCCTCTCCTCTTCTTCTCCATCACTTTTATATGTATTGTTGGATAAAAATATTAATGTTAAATCAATCCACGAGCCAAGTGGACGCAACACATGCGAATTCGCGAATTTTGTGTGGCACAGATTTTCAGAAATATTTTCAGGTATATATGCAGAAATATTTTCCAAATTACAAAAGGTGTTGGCGTGGTACTTGCAAATTTCAGACAAATAATTAAATGAGTATAATTTCAGAGATTCTGTGCCAATTTTTAATTTAGCTGAATATTGATTTTAAATAATTAAGCATATAAACTATTTTTTTTTTTTTTAAATTAAAACTGATATTTTTTTAAGTACGTATAATAATGTTTCGTTAAAAAAATGGTTTTTGCTCAAGCTTTTTATTTTTTGCAACTAGATCCAAGTTTGACCTTGGCTGTTGCAAAATTTTTCATCTAAAAATTTCTACACTTTTATTTTGTACACATCAAGTGAACAGTTTTGGAAAGTTTGAGCACAACAAACAACGTCTCGAATTTTATCATCAAAATAATGAAGCTACAGCCGCGCACGTGGTGCTGAAAGACCGGCTAATCAGCGTTTTATCCATTTGTGTGTCATCGTGTCCGCGACCCTGGCACGTGCGTCCGTCTTGAGCGCCGATCGGCTCTCTCGATATCGCAAATGCACTCTCTAGTTACTTGCGTGCAGCGAGCGCCTATTCATTTGAATATGCATGCACTGCGCACAGACCGGTTCTCTTTCAAGCGCCAAGGCTGCGGACTCGTCTCGTGGGGCGTGACGTCATCGTTTCAGCAAATGCAGCATTGCACTTTGTACGGAATGCAAATGCAATCATGCTTGTCGAGCGAGGCAGCACGCGCGTCTGATGCTCGGCTTTGAAGAATTTGCTTACTGCTGTTTATTTCGACTTCATCGTAAACGTCCAGAAAAAAATTGTGATGTTGGCCAATTTAAATAAATTGATAAATAAAAAGGAAAAATCAACAAATTGCATGTGACGATTCAGGAAAAAAAATACTGTATTGGTTCTAATTGTAAGTAGTATGCAGCAAACAAAAACGCGTTACACATATTTTCAAAGATCTTTTTTTTCATTTAAAATTTTTTAAACAATTAAATAAATTTTTTTTTTCAATTTTAAATTTTTTGTATAAATATAAACGTGATTTATTGTTAGTTTTATATACATAAGCATTTATATTTTTTATTTTTAATAATAAATAAATATTAAATTGAATTAATAAATAGTTTGTTTAATTAATTATACTGTTTATGTACAAAATTTTTGAACAAATATAAATTTAATTTTTAGTGCAGCCGCCATTTCATTAAAAATAATAAATTTTACCTATGAGTTATTCACAACTTCACAAAGTCAGACAATAAGACTCAACCACTTGCTGAAAATTCTATGGCTGCATGTATTTAATTGAAGACATAATTTATTTCTTTCTTTTGGATAGTGCATGAGTGCCACAAATATCATCCAAAATTAAAATCTAGAGTGCAAAAAATCATAATAACATTCGCATTTTAGTGATCTATTACAATATTATAAATCTTGTTCATCGTGAGTTAAAATAAATCAAAATATATTCCAACATTTAATTTAAATTAATTTTAAATTTTTGCACCTGCATCCCAGTATCCTAAATGCAGAGGAGCACACACAAAAAACAAGATCTGAGTATTTTCCGTTCTCCTCTCCAGAATTCACTCAGCGGCAGTCAATGGGGCGGCGATTTTGCAGTATGCGCGCGATTTGCTTTTTATTGTGCGTCATCAAAACAACCATCGGAACCGCAGAGAAGAATAAGTGGCGGCGCAGCGAAAAATAAATAATGCCACTCGCCGCACAACAAATCCGGCCCAGAGACGTTTATTATTATTTTTTTATAAAATAAAAGAGAGGAGGATGTTGCGAGAGAGATTTCCTTGTTTTAGTGTAAAGGCTCGCTCGGAATGATGTGGAGCGCAGAGAGAGAAAGAAAGAAATCTTTTGGGAAAGAAAACTATACACCCGCGGCTCTGAGGGTATCAGCTTGTTTTGAAATCCTAGCTGAGTGGACATAAAGTGTGTCCATCAACGTGCTCAAGCCCTATCATTTCAGATTATTCTATTCAGCGTGGGACAGACAAGGAATCTCCTATATTATTCTTGTGAGAAAAAACCAATGGAGGATTATTGAAAAAAAAAATGGAATTCTCTTTCAGCTTTATAAAATGTTATAAGCAAGTGCAGCGTGGATATGGAAATTATTGAATTTTTACATAAAAAAATCAATAAGCATTCATCAATATATGTATTTTTTTTAAATTTAATTTCATGATTTAAAAAAAATCCCGACCCAGTGCGCACAGCATTGCTCGACTAACGTTCGTTTGATATTGGCCAGCGTGCAACGCCGAACATCGGTCGCTTGCAACGCGCGGTCATTCAATTGTTCACACGGCCGATGTCGGCCGGTTGTCAGTGCGCGTTGAACGGACTGACGATCGGCTGACATCCAATCGTCATTTTCATCTTTCAATTATTTTTTGTGCTTTTTTCTTAATTAATGGGTAGTCGCAAAACTTAAAGTCCACAAAATTTCAAGTTCAAATATTATTTAATGGATAAAACTTGTACTTACAAAAATGAACAGTGAAATTTGCAAATATTCACAATTAAATCACTTTAACTATTGGTCCATAACGCACGATGATTGTTTGTAAATCACACACTAGTTGGTCCTTTATGCATTACTAGGAATTAATTTAACGGTGAAATCACAACCATTATATATCAGCTAGTTGCCCCAAACTCATGGATGTCGTTTTTCCATTTATCTGAAATTTGATTTCAAGGAAATTATTAGATGGGATGGATTATTAAAAAAAACTTATAAAAAATGCCAACAAATGGTAATGGAACATAAAGAGAATAAATATCTTCAAAATCTACCTTGATTAATTTGAAATTCCATGAACTGCATATTTCTCCTTGTATGTTGTGTCATTAGGAACGTAAATTGCACACTAAATGTTTTGATGCAAACGCGATTACTTCGATAATTAGAGATTTTCGGTGGAAAAATTCTTGATGATGTCCGCAGTCCGATCCAAACAAGACTCAACCAAAACGTGGTTGATGATTGATGACTTGAGAGCCCTAGCGCGACCTCTGGTGATTGTCCGGCGGTTGCCGATGGCCTGCAATCATCGGACAACCTGCCCGCAACCTGTGGGAGAGGTTAGCTCCCGCGCCACCAACTTTTCTTTAAGTCCCATCAATTGCATGTGAAGACGTCCAAGCATTGCATTTCAGTTGCACGCCGGCGTGCAACTGCAACCACCGAGCAATGAGGACGTCTGTCCGACAAAGATTTGATGTCAGTCGAGCAATAGCTGTGCGCGCTGGGGAGAAGTTTTTTGTTTTGTTATTGATGTTTTTATAAAAAAATATTTTTCTAGCTCATTGCTGATGTATTTGAAACAGACCTGTTCTTTTTCCACCATTCGAGGCGACCATGCACGTTTTTTCTCTCTCTCGTGGCTTTGCGTTGGGGAAAGGCCTGCACCCTCACGCAAGAAAAACAATGCGA